CTCCCTTGGCCCGAAGAATTTTATTAATACTAAAGACAATGCTAATGGAAACTGACCAGCCCCATAAGAGCAGCAAATACAAGCAAAGGAGCCGGGGAGGCCTGGCCTTTAAAGGAGACATAGTCTAATTTGAGTTGAAATTAGAGCAGATTGTCACAAACAGTCTGGTCTTTAGATAAGAGGACTCAGGATTGACAGTGCGTGATAGAAGCCAGGATGGGCTATTTGAGATGGATTTTGGGTGGGTAAGTTGTTGGGAGGAGTCTGAACATTGCGTTCTTCAGGGGAAAGGATGCTAGCAACAGAAAGAGGGAGGAAAGAGGTGGTGGGTAATGACAGCCAAGTTGCAGAGAGGAAAACAGGAGAGGATAGGGGTCGCTTTTCAGAGACAAAGCTGAAGCTCTGTAACCCGTTTTTTCAAAGTTTGCCTGATCACAAAGCATTGTCCCTCTGCTGTGTGCCTTTTGTTTCCTGTGCATAAAGCCTAACCTCTGTCCCTTGTTGTAGTCTCTCTCCTCACCTGCCTCTGCAAGTTCTCTGGGTTTAGCCACCCTGGATCCAACTGCTTTCCACGTCTCCTAGATGGCCTGAGCCTCGCCAGCTCTTTCTGCCTTTTCTTCTCCTTCTCTGTTTCCTTCTCCTCTCCTGTCGTCCTGGCTCCTGTCTTAGTCCTCTCGGCCTCTCCTCTAAGTCCTTCACCCCCTTCCCTTCCTCCTTCCATCTTACTCCTTTCCTCCGTAGCCTTCCCTCCCCCTTCGCTCCCCTCCCCCCTCTCCTCCCTCCCCTTCTCTCCTCTTCTCCCCTGCCACTTCTCTGACCCCCTAGCTCCTTCCCCACATACAGCTCTTCTCCTTCTTGCCTTCTTTTTCCTTTTTTCCCTCTCCGGGCCTCTCTCCCTTGGTCCTTGTTTCTCTGTAAGCTCTAATTTCTTGTCTTATAGATTTACCTGCAGTACAAGACACAGCTCCTCTTGCACAAGAAACGGTTTAAGAAATCCATATTCTCTCTCTTCGTTCCTTGGGTATTTCAGAAATGATATTCCTCCCCCAGCTACCCCTGTCAAAATAAAATACATTCAGCCAGCGCCTGCTGTGTGTCCTTAAATCCATTCCCTCCAGCTTTGCCGGGTGAAAGCCTGTACCCTAGAAGGGGCCTCCTGCATTTGCTGGCAACCCTGCTCCAGTCTGATCGCCACAGATAGTGTTTGGGAGTGAAAAAAAGGGGGAAAACCCTCCAGTTGGAGATTTCAAAACAGATTCTACCAGCTCTGAAGTCTGTGCACTTGCTGAGTGACAGGGCTTCGCGGAGAGGGGCAGGGGACTCAGGGTGTTTGTGGTAAACAAATAGGCAACCGGATTTATGCATAGACCGACATAATTTGGGGTTTCCTTTGACAAGTTTGGTGTCTCTCTGGCATCGAGGGTGGGTGCTATACAAGCATGACTTCTCCCACGCTCCGGCTTGCTTTGGGGTCTATGGGTGGGGGGAACTGAGGAGGGGGCTTGCAGTGCTTGTGATCTGATTCACTTGATGGATTATCAGACTCCAGCCCACCTTCCCCGCACCCTTCAAACAGATGGGATCATTGTCGAAAGCCTGGAGAGCGCCGAGGCTGAGCAGTGGGTAAGGAAGGGCGAGGAAGGAGAGGAGGGGGACCGAGGGTAGGGAGGGGGCACCTTCTAGTAGCTTTGTGTTTTTCACACGCTGGGACTGACAGGAGTCCTCCCCTTCCGTGGGGGGCCGTTTTGGGGGGTCTGAGGCTGGTGAGGGGTGGGATGGAAAGGAGAGCAAGAGGTGGGGTGTTGGTGGGCAGGGTTATGATGTCACAGCAAAAGTTACAACAGGAGGAAAACACAGAAATGGTTCAACATTTTTTTTTTTTAACTTTGGACTGCCAAGAGCTGAAGGAGAGTGGTGAGCGAAGGAATGAAGGGGTGGGGGTGGGGAGAGAAACTAAACTGGAGCTTGGGTTCGGTGGAGCTTCTTGAAACCTTATGAATGGATCGCTAGCAGCAGAAAGCCAGGGGAGACCGACCTGTAGGGGCTTTAGGATCATTTACACTTTCAAAGGGGCAGAAAAGCACAGCGGGATGCCTCTTCCTTGCTGGCTTAACCTCCCTCCTGAAAAGAATGGTAGGAAACGTTTTTTCCGAGGGTCCTGGGGGTGGCCTAAGGGAGGGAGAAGTTCACCCCCTTTTTTCTCACCTGAGGAGCTTCCCTCCACTGGAAGGCAGGCTCCTCATTGAGCCCCTTGCCTGGGCTGCTGCTTGGCTGTTTTCCTGTGTCTTCTGCTCCTGGGCTTTCTCCTGCTCGCTCTACCTCCAGCCCTCATCCATTCTGTAGCTGCTTCTGACTCATAATCATCATCATCTTTATAAAGGACTGAATCAAAAGAGTGAGGGACATAAGGGCCATGCTGAAAGAGAGCAGGGGTGTGGGGTGAGGTGAAGATACAGACTCATCTTTACAGCAGTCTATGAGTGCCTGGCCCATTATCTTCCTTGGGAACTTGCTCTGGAGGCTCCAGGGGCAGGCTGCAAAGGGAACCAGTTTGCTGGAGGTTAGGTGGCTCAGGAGATAGCATTCAAGGCAAGTACTTTGGTTCTTAGCTGGGGTGGAGGAGGGAATTCATGGCAGAGGAGGCAGTGCGATCTGAATCCAGAGTATGGGGATGTGTGTCTTATAGAAGGGCAACATCTATGTGATGCTATTGACAAGCAAGGGCTTAGAAAGTGAACTTGATTGCTGTTTTATTATTGAATGGTCTGGTGTATTTCTCTACATGTTAGTTACCCACCTGTGGTCAAACATCCTTACTTGTGTTGAGAATTCAGAACCCTTCTGTGTGTGTGTGTGTGTGTGTGTGTGTGTGTGTCTAAGGGGAAGAGGGAGTGTGTATGTATACAAAGCACATGTGATTAGGGGGTGGGGACACTTCTCTGCATCTAGGCAAAGGATCTGATTGAGACTGAAGTCACATTTTTTGCCTCCCCATCTGATCCATGCACTTCAAACCCAGGGAACAAAGAGTTGCTCCAGTCCAGCTGATCATATTTGTACATGACTCATTGTGAGGGTCTCTCTTGTGTCGATGCGCTTGCTCAGCGTAGGCTGTCGTTGAGTAAGTTCAGGTTGAGAGGAACTTCAGAGGGAAGAAGATCGGGACACTATGCAGCTATGGCATATTCCCCACTGATTCTTCCCACCGCAGAATGGGCTCCTCTTTCCCCCAATACCCAAGATTCAGGGAATGGGAGGGATTGTTTTCTTAAATCCCAAATGTCTGGGGGCGGGGGTGGGGCAGGGGAGAGATACCTTCAAACCCAAAGTGGCAGGAGATTTGTGACAAGTCAAAAGAAAAGAGAAGCCAGCCTTCCTTAAAGTGCTATTTAGGCAGTGGGCAGATCTGGGGACCCCTGGTAGACAGTGTTTAAAGCACTCAGCTGCTAACTGAGGGTCCGCGGTTCAAACCCAACAGTTTCTCTGTGGGAGAAAGATGTAGCACTCTATTTCCATGAAGGTCTACAGCTCTGGAAGCTCTTGTCTGCTCTGTCCTATATAGTTGCTAGGGCTCTGAAGCAACTCTTGAAAGTAGGGGGTGGGTGTGGGAGGGGAGGGGTAGCTGGGGAGACCAGATCTGTTTACAGCAGTGTGTGTGTGTGTGTGTGTGTAGGGGAGGGAGTGGGAGAGAGAGAGAGAGAGAGAGAGAGAGAGAGAGAGAGAGAGATTACACACAGAAAAGGGAGCTCCAAAACACTATTGATTGCTTGCTATTGATTGTGCAGGCTGCGGCTGCTGAAAGAGAAAGCCCCAGATGTTTACTGGGGAAACCAAGAGTAGTGTGTGTCCTGAGACTAGCCTGCCTTCCTTCCCGGTGCCTCCGTGAGATGGGGAGGGGACAGGGAGTAGGTGGAGTGATGCACCCAACTTATTAGCTTTGACATCATCATTGTCTTTAAAGGAAACAAACAAGGAGATCATTACCGGCAGAAGGGGAGTGCAGGGGAGGAGCGAGGAGGCACTGGAGAGCAGGTCCCTCGAAGCGTGTGCTCTTCTCACTCTCTGTCTTCCCAGGGACCGGCCAGCCTTGCAGAATGTGGAGTCAAGGGCTCTCAGACTCATGAGGTGATGCCAACAACAGACTGGCACCCCAAAGGACAACTTCCCTGAGACTTGCCAAACATCCACAAGTTGGAAGGGATAAAACAGTCCACCAGCCCAGGACCTGGCGGAGGGACACACTCTCACCTGCACAGAGAGCCTGGAAGGTGGCTGGGAGCTGGCAGAGGAAGACAGCTGGAGAGCAAGTTAAGTACCAGCTTGGATTTGTCTGCGCCCCCCGCCAGCATTTTCTTTTTTTTTAACCCTTCCCCGCCACCCTTCTTAGCAAACAGGCATCATCTTGTGTATCTCTCTGTTATAAAAGTTCTTGGAGGTTAAATGCATATTGAGTTAAGGGTTCCCAGGGAAAAGGCCCCTCTGAGAGGCAGAAAGAGACAGGAATGATCACCAAAGCATTTGTGAATGACTCCAGGTAGTTGGATGGGGGTCTTGTGTGTGTTTGCAAGGCAGTGTACATTCGAGAGGATTTCTCAGGCTCACGTGTCCCCCTTGTAGGATCAGCGAGGGGACAGGTTATTGAAGAAGGGATAGAGAAAAAAAGGAAGAAAGAAACCTGATCTCTCTGTGAGGAAATGTATAGGAAGCAGGAGAAATCACGGTCATTCTGCGAGGACTAAACAGAGCAGGAGGAGAGCTAACAGGCGCCTGGGGCGGTGAGGAGAAGCCCACAGAGCGGGGTCCACGTGCTAGCACCTGGGGCAGGAAAGGAAGAAGAGGTGTTCTCCAGGGGCGCTGTTTGAGAAAGTCTGGTCTCTGGATTAAACAGTGTTGTGGTGACTGCTGATTGGGCTCCTAGCTGCCTCTTTCTTTCCCCCCATCTTTCCAGAGTGGTACCCAGAAGCTGACTCCTAGGCCTGTAAGAACCACTGGGGGGAGCTATGATGAGCTCCAAGGTTCTGACGATAAGCCTGGTGATGCTGGCTGGGTGGGCATTCAGTCTCGCCACCTCTGAGCTGGACTGGCCACCCAAGAAAGCCTTGGTCCAGAGGGAGCGACTGAACCAGGGGCAGTTGCAAGGGGAACGTTGTTGGCTGGGGACCAACTTTCAAAGACCCAGAGCTGCTCCCCAGCACCACCTCTTTGGGGTCTACCCCAGCAGGCCTGGGAACTACTTGAGACCTTACTCCAGTGGGGAGCAGGGAGCTCGCCAGGCAGGACACAGCAAGGCAGACCCCCAGGAAACTCTGGCGAGCCTTGCTCCCCCAGCCCCTGCTGGAAAGGTGGCAGGACAGAGGAGACAGGTTGTGCGTCCAGCTGCCTGGTGGGTGAGGGATGGTCCGCTTGGGCAATCGAAGCTTCTGGGAGTCAGTGACACTTCTCTTGGCAATGGAGGGGCCCAGGAGCCTGTAGGTGAGGCTGGGATGCAGGAAATCCCAGTAGCTGCTGCCACCATCACCCCCACCTTCACACGCCCAAAGGAACCCAAGCTGGAGACCCACAGGAAGGGCCGAGCCAAGACAAGGCGACGTCGCCTAGCAGCACCGAGGCAGGTGGCGGGCTTGCGGGGAGGCCCTGACATCCCTCCCCAGAATCTCCACGCTTGGCCTAAGCCTCCTCTTCCTCACGAGGCTAAAGACAGTGCATTGGACGACAGCATCCCAAACGGTGGAAGTGACCTCCACTGGGAACGAGAGCCCTTCCACCCACGGGGAGGTCTGCCTGTCTTGTACTTCTCGGGGCGGCAGGAGCGGCTGCTGTTGCGTCCAGAAGTGCTGGCTGGAATTCCCTGGGAGGCGTTCACAGTGGAAGCCTGGGTCAAACCGGAAGGAGGACAGAACAACCCAGCCATCCTAGCAGGTAATCACCCACTCCTGGGCTTTCCTTGGTCTCCCCGGTATGAGCGGCTGCCTTTCTGATCGGGCTAAATCTAGGGGCACGTAGGGCAAGGAGACCCGCAGGGTGGCCCCGGGGAGAGGGGGACGGGCCCCTCTTCATCTGCAAAGCAGGAGTGCAGACCCCCAGACCCATGGACAACAAGGACCCCCTAACCTCAGCGTGGCAGCATTGATTTGTCAGTTGCATCGATCACAGCAGGTTGTGTTTGTACTTAGAACCGTCAGCTCAAACCTCTGGCTCTGCTTTAAAGGGGACGGTCTCTTTGGTTCTCATGTCGATGAGGAGGGATGTCTTGCTCCATCTCTCCAGGACCTGTGGGAGATATCCAGGCATCTTGGAAGGTAGATGGAGCGCAAGGATCTGGCTACTACGTCATGCCCAGGCAGGTTTAGGTCAGCCAGGCTACCAGGTACACGGCTACCCTGCTTTGGCCAGCTTCCTCTGCTCTGGACCAGCCTCTTGGGCTTCCTTTTCTTTTTCCCAATGATTGCATGCCCAGCATAGGCACCCAAGAGCCGGGGTCCTGGGTTCTAGTCTTGGTGATTATAAGCAGGGCCGGGTGTGTGGGGTGGGGGTGGGGGGTCAGGGCGCTAAAAGTGACATTCTGTGTCACGATGGTTTTCACCAGAGGCACCTCTCTGGGCTCATTAGCCAGATGTATTTTCTCCTCGACCCACAACTTGGCATTTCTCCGAAGAAAAGCGTCTTCCTTAGCTTTACTGCGCAGGAGTTTTCAAGCAGGGGACGGGTGATTGCACTCAATAGCTCAGGGGTTTCTGTCTCATGACGTTGTTGGACTCCCCAGGAGGGGGCACCTAGTAGAACCATTTTCATCCTGTTTACTGTTGTGATGATGGAGAAACCAAGACACGAGCAAGTGTGCCAGAAGCAGGCTAGAACTATACCTCCAGGCCCCCAATTGCTTGACAGCTTTCACAATTTTAAACAAGAAAGAAAGAACACAACAGCAACACCCCTTCCAGTTTCTGGATGCTTACGAATAAGTTTTCAGGCTGAGGGGACAGTAACCAGGAGGCAGGGGGCTTCTCACTGTGGGGTCTCCCTAGAACATCCTTTCTGGACATGCTGTCTCCCCCTCTTCTGCTGTGATTTTTCCTTGGGAAACCGGGATTCCCAGACACTGAGCGCCCTAGAGTCTTGTGGTTTTGCTGTATTTTATTTTTGGTGGGAGAGGGGCTGAGGGGAGGGGAGAGAGAAGCGGCTGGGCTGTAAGACAGGCGGGGGACCGAGCCAGAGTGGAAGGAAGTCCTTATTCTGGAGGCAAAGGGTGGAAATTATGAGATGATGATCTGAGCAGGGTTGGCAGCTTCACCGTTTCCCCGGATGACATCTTCTTGCTGCCGAATCTCACTTCCTACTGCCCATCTGCCAGGGAAACTGGGTGCTTTCAGTCTAGACCGAGCCCCACAACTCTGCTTACCACTCCTCTTGTAGGAACCCGCTGGGGGCCCGAGATCAGCTCCCTGACCCCACAGAGTTAGAGGAGCCAACAGGGGTAAATATGGGAGCACACAAGAGACTAAAGGTTTAGGTTATTAAAACCTCCTCTTGGGGGAAGCAACTTTACAACAGGGAAGGTACCTGACCTGTGCCTTGCCCCTTCTGTGTCCTGTTTCGTGCTGGGCAGCGAGGAAAGTAACATCCTGCTTTAAGTCCAGCTAAATACTCCTTCCCTTGACCACCTGCCCATCACCACCAACTTCCCACCAGCCTTCCCCTAACACACACTCTGATCCTGCTTCAAAGTGCCCTCTTCAGGTGTGACCAATCTTAACCTTAAGCAGGCAAAATTGAGCAGGGATTTTCTCTCTCTCTCTCTTTTTCTGGACCAATTTAGTGTGCCTTAGGTGAAAGTTTACATAGCACATTACTTCCCCTTCAACAAGGGATGCACACAGTGCTCCAGGAATTGGGCTGTGAGCCCTGAGAGGTGCCTGCATCCTCCCAATCACCCTACCGACCCCTTTCCAGCCCTCCAATTCTCCTGCCCCTGCCTTTGCCTTCTCATCTTTTGGGCGGGGGGTGGGGGGCTGGGGGGGGGGCAGGGACGTTGCCCTTATAGTAAGGGGACCAGACGTCCCGCTTTTGGCGGGACAGTCCCCATTTTTGGTGTTTTTAAAACGTCCCGATTTTTGGAAAGAATGCACGACAAGCTGGGAACGGTGTATTTGATCCATATAGACCAAATTTTTCATCAAGAACCCCCCCACCTCCACCCCGGTTAATGGTGTCCGCTTTAAATCTGGTCACCTTACCTTATAGTTGATTCTTCTAGGGCGCATATTCCTCAGGGGTGTGGCCGTTCATTTTGCAGGCCAATCTATGAGTCGGCCAAAAGGGGACCTCTGGGAATGCCGTCAGTTCCAGGTTAAAAGGGTGTCTTAGGATGACAGTCTCAGGGGCTCCTCCAGCCTCTCTCAGTCCAGTAAGTCTGATTTGAGTTTTGGTACACAACTTTCTCTCATTCTAACTGGGATCCTCGATTACGTCTCTGGTCCAGAGTGGTCACCAGTGGTAGCTGGGCCCCATCCAGGTCTCCTGTCTCTAAAGCGGGCCATGATCTGTATGGCTCCTCAAGTCTTCGGTCTCCTCCACTCCTCTTCACTCCAGAAGGGAAGAGCTGTATACAGCCCAGGAGCTGGATCTAGAAAGGCTGCTCACGAGCTGTAAAGACCTCTGACATCCTCCCCAAACTAGCGTCAACTGTGTGATTGGCCTAGCCAGCTCCCCCAGTCACGGTGCTTAGTCACCTAGTTCAGCCCAGTAGCTCAGTCCTGTTAGGGGGTTGTATAGAGCTAAGAAGTTTCGAGAACTGTGGCCCCTCTGTGCTGTATTATATATGCGAACATAGATTCAGCATACATATCTATGTATACACACACACTCACACAGAAACGCACATAGAAATACAACTGTATCCCTCTATAGTTGTCATTAGGAACCCTGCTGGTGCAGTGGGTTGGACATGTGGGTTGCTGATTGACAGGGAAGGCCTTTTGACTCCACACAGATCCGCTGCTTCGGAAACTCCAGCGACCCGCTCGGCGCTGTCCTCCAGAGCCACTAGGAGTCTGCATCAATTCCAAGGCAGTGGATTGGAGGCTTTTGCTTTTATGCCTCGATCTGCCGGCACATACACTCCTGGGCAGGAAACCTTCTGCCGACAGTCTAGCTTCCGAGGGGTCTCTCTCCCTAGAGTAGCCCTCATGGGACCCCGAGGTTCCCTCTTTTTCAGGTTCACTGCAGGAAGAGTAAGGGTAGGGGCTCACTCGAACATGGAATACCCTGGGATAGACCCTCTCTACTTTCCAGCCTCAGTAAATGTTCAGTTGGAACTTAGGGTAACAATTTAGGGAAGATGGGGGTTGGGAACAAGATCTTCATTCTTCACGTTTCTGGCAACTGAGTTCCTGTGGGTGCAGGCATTCTTGCCTGGTTTTAAGCACTTAGCTACTCATGCTTCACCTGTGGAGCCAGGGCTAGATGGGAGGTGGGAGTCCTCCAGAAGCAGAGGTCTCTGGTGGGCATTCCTTTACCCACCTGTGTCAACAGAGTAGCCTGACCCTCTCAGTGGAGCTTCAGTTGGTTACCACCTGCGCCTAGGGTTGTAGGCCTTCCTTTGTGCAGAAAGACTTAAACACAAGCATTTCCCTTGGGGCTAAACACAGCTCAGCCCGGCTCGTTCTGCTGAACCATTGCAGATAATACAAGGTACTGAAAAACTGGACTCCCCATTCTTTTCCAACGCTGATCAACTCTCCCTTTCTGCAGACTCAACTTAAACCAACTCTCCAGGTTCGACGCCTACCCTGCCGGGGCATTTTATTTTCAGCAGGGAAGTCAAGCAATCCAAGGGAATACTTCCCAAACGGGGCACTAGATGGCAGTGTTGCTTCGGCGATAGGCACTTGGAGTTGGGAATGAGGCTGGTGTTGGAGTGCAGTCCCTACTCTGGTCTCAGGGCTGCAGTCAGCCAGCGCTTCCCAGTATTTGGTTGGTAACCGTCTCTGGGGTCAGCTTCATACAAGCCCTTTTTGGGGGGCCTATGTGAAAAGGCTGAGGTTGCACTTTGGGGATCTCAGCAACTTGGAGCCATGAGTAAAGAAAACCAAATCAACTCGCCATTCCCATCTTGTACTTCCACGTGCTTCCCAAATAGGAACTGGGATGCACAACAGATTGCCAGCATCTCTTCATTGAGGTCTTGGGGCAGGGACTTCAGATGCTGAGACTCCCTGGTTGTCGTGGAAATGATGGTATCTACTCTATCAAGTCAGACTTTCTGACTCGATAGCTTACTTCCTGTGATTGGGAAGCAGGCCACTGAAGTCTGCAGATGACCATTCACACTACCCCAGTGTTTCTGCACTCCCCCAGCCACCATGTCAGTGGCTGCTCAGGGGCCTGGCAGTTCTGTGCTATTTAGACACATGGGTGTAACTGGAGGTCAGGAGACCGTTTGGATGGATCATTGGAAAGGAGCAGCAGACAAAGGCCAAGTCCGGCCCCATTCTGGTATAAAATCTTTAGGGTCTCGTGCCCGTTCCTCTCTTTTCCTTCTCAGCTTCCTTTCCTCTCCTTCCACCTCAACACACAGGCAGAGGAAATGTTCCCGGGTTCCTCCTCTCCCATACTTGATTTCAAATGGTCCCTGCAGCTGCCCCGCTGAGTGACCACCCGCAGCTCCAAGTTGCCTGAGACTGAGTCACTAAGTCCGTGGCAGGCTTAGAGCCTGACCCGGTTTCTTCATTCAGCAAACGTTCATGGACGGCCTTGCCATGCACAGCACGGGGCACACAAAGAAGTCTCAGAAACCGTTCGCAGCCGGAGGATGAGCTTGCCTCCCCGCGCAGTCGCACACTGGAGCTTACCAAGGTGTGATGGAGAGAAGAGCATGCACCTGGGAGGGAGACAGGCCTGCCGGGAGTCAGCGCCCAGCT